TAAGATAAATCTCAATTTTCCATCTTTAAACTCTCCTTTCTGCTAGAAAAATTAATCCAGATGTTTTCATTAATGTCTGTGGTGAAGCAACGGAAAATCATGGCCGTATGGTTTTCCTGGTTGTAAAACTGATTAATTATGCTGTTGTTGTTTTCATATTTTGCCAAATTAATGTAAATGTTTGATGTTAATCTTTGATTCTGTAAATAAATGACCGCATTCATTTTGATGGGTCAAAGATAAATAACGTCTCTCGTTACATTTCTGTTAAATTCAATGCACGCATGTTACACAGTCCAGAAAAATGAAGAACCCGTTTAATGTATGAATATATATCACTATATGTCATACTACACAGTGTTCCCTCAGTGAGGACTGAACTAGGCAAAAGGGCCTTCTCCTACTCCGCTCCTGTTTCCTGGAATATCTTGCAAAAAGATATGAAGCTCTCGACCTTGACCTCTCTAAGTGGCTTCAAACATCTGTTAAGTTCATGGGAAAAACCAATGCAGACATGTTCCTGTTTTTAGTTTTCTACACGCCTTATCTAGATTTTTTTGTTTCATTTTTTTAATACCATTTTCTTTTGTTCTTCTCAATTTGTATGCTTTTTATGATCGTCTACTGATATCTTTGTTGTCTACTGTTGTCATCACTCTTTGTTAAAATCAGGTCTCTCTTGTAAATGATTCCCTGAGACTCAATGGGATTAACATGTAGAAATAAAGGTTGAATGAAAAAGTAGCACTGGGATACATCAACTACCTGATCAGCAGTAAAAGTACACACATCCATAAAAGCAAACATTTTGGTGGTTTGGCAGAAAATAGCAATGATTTTAAAGAAGCAATGGTTTGGAAAAGAGTTAGAAGTTATTTTATAATGTTTAAGTATTAAATGCAGATGATTATTTACAAATGGAAACGTCTAAGATGATCTTCCAAGCAATGGTCATTCCAACAAAATCACCCTAAAGACCAGATGGTACTTCAAACACATCATGAGCTACATTTCATTCTCTACAGGCCTCAGTTAGCATGTTAAATATTAAAAGTCCTAGATGGTAAAATTAGAAAGAAAAAGACTGAGCAAGTGTGGCTGGTTTGAAAATGTTGCCAGGAAAAAATAAATAAATAAAAAAAGAGCATGGCAGCACGATTTATGGTTGTAAAGTTTTATATAAACTAACTAAAAGTCTTTTGAAATAACATCTTTTGAAGAGATAAATGACAAAAATGACTTATTTGGCCATAATTTGTAGTGTCACACTTGGACATAGTCAAATGCTGCACATCTGCATCAACAGCTCATAAAGACTAAGGTGGTGGATGGTTTACCATTAACTCCTTTAGGTACCAAAATATTACGGCTATCAGCTTGATAATTAAAGTTTACACACCTGTTATGTTACAAAGTCATAATGAAACAACAACAACAAAAAATCCTTATTTTATAAGTTAATTTTTTAATGCTAATGGAAAACCTGACAATTTCTCATTAATTAAAATAATAAACAATTACCTTATGATGTAATATTCAATATAATTTATGAAATGGCTCATTAAAAGCTTGTTAAATCGAGTATTTCAAATGTTGTATTTTTGTGTTGAGTCATAAAATTAGACAATTATATCTGGAACCTAAAAATAAAAAAATAATAAAAAGATCAAATACATTTCTTCTTTGCTATAACAACTAAATCTTAATTATTCAATCACCAAAGCCTCCTGGGCCCTTTTTCTGCTCTTCGGGGATAAAAAGAAGTCCAATTATCTTGAACTCCAAAAATACAGGATCAGTAGTAGAGCGGAAGATTAAATCAATATATTACAGTCTGGTCCAGAGCAGTACTCCAGTAACAAAGCAGAGTAATGGAAAAATCAAAGTGCTCAATGTTTGGACTTTGTAACATTACTCATCTAGCCTCTTCAGTGGAGTCTTATCTCATCATGACAACAGCAAAGAGAGAGAATAATTGCCATGGCAACAGGTCACCTTGAGTTGAAGTCACTTTTATCTAAATTTACTTCAGGTGGATGCAACTTCAAAACTTTGGCTATATATATATAACTCTTAAACTTAGCTTTAAATTTAAAATGGTGGTGGCAGCTGGTCTGTTTTTGCAGAGTTTTTATTAGTCACAGGCCGATGTGCGACTCAAGCGCTGGAATATTCCTCCAGGAGGCTGCAGCAGATAACTGACCTCCATTTGAAAACATCAGAGGAGGAGGTTCTGATCAGAGTACAGATCATCTGTTGCTCTCGTTTGTTCAAGATCCTCTCAACCTTTTTCCGACTCAAAGTCCCCGTTAAACTGCACACGAGGAGACGTGCTTCAGCAAATTTATCTATTTTATGTCTTTCTTCTTTTTGTCATTAGTGGTGAAGCAGAAACTGAGAAAACCACCACAAATCTAAAGGAGACAGAGACAGGTGGACAGCTGTCAGCCTCCCCAGTGTCTCCAGAGTCCTGACCGAAGAGGGTTAGCAGCCTGGATGAACATTGTGCAAAAATACAAACTATAAAATTTACCTAAAAATTGATTAAAGATGTTAAATAATGGATTGCTGGACATGGGCACAGGCGACCCCTGTGACCCAAAATGGAAGAAGCGGGTAAAAGATAATGGATGGATGGATGGATGGATGGATGGATGGATGGATGTTAAATAATGTACTTTGTGAAAAAAGTGGGCCATCGAAGGAATTAGTTAACAGTCAAAGTAATACATTTAGAATTAATCTCCCTGATGTAATTTATAATAATTAATCAAAGCCATTGTGCGAAACCTCAAAAGTTCTTTTTTACAGATGTGGAACAGTACAAATGTGATTTTAGAGACTTTGTAAAGGGATGGAGATTGAAATTTAAAGAAGTACCTGACAAAGTGTTATACAGTATAGCCATCCAGTTTTCAGGTTTGCTTGCAAACTCTTGTGCCACAATTGTTTTAGTACATCTGAAAAAATACTAAGTATCCTATGTTATTTTTAAGACAAAATAACTTTTTTGTTGGGGTTTTCCTTTTTGTTGTAATTTTTCAGCCAATACAACAAAGAGTGGAAGTGTGCACTCACTAAGGCTGTGATAACACTTTCAGATCTGTTACAGAGCTTCATTTAAAACCAACTGTTTAACTATAACATCATAATAAAACAGATTTATCGACATTATGAAAATGGGATTAAAGCAAAATACAAGTGACGATAGAAAGAAAAAGACACAGGCATGTTTATCCAAAAAGACTCTTTAATTGGCCTTAGTGGTAATTACAGGGTGAAGGATCCTGGTAATATAGATATTAGAATAGCTTTCACTTGTCTTGTTTAAATTGGATAACTGAAGACTTTAGTGGGGTGGTAAAAAGAGGGAGAGCAAGGGAATATAAAAGAGTGGAAAAAGGGATTAATGAAAAATGTTCATTGCAAACTGACAGCTAATAAGAGTTGCTGCAAACGTTCCAGTAAATTAACAATTTTTAAAAATAAAAAATAAGACTGTGAGAGAGGTGTTTAGAAAAACAGTGATTATAAAGTCCTAATATATGTAGAATACGTAAATATATTATTACCAGTCTTAAATAACACATTCGTCTATATTGTTATAGTACTTAGAATACACATTTTATTTAATGGGAGGCCTGTGGGTTTAGCCTCACATTGAGAGACAACGAGGTTGAAAAATCAGTGCTTTTAGAAAGACGGTTTGGGTTTTTTGATGTGAGACTCTGCGGAGTTATTGGCAGTCAGTATCTTACCTGCAGCAGACAGGATCAGCAACATGTCAGTTTAGAAAATCAGGAAGAACTCAAACTGGTAAAAGATAAGGGTAGTATCTCACTGGTCTTTTGACTGTTGAAGACCAGTTTGTGACTCAAAAATGCAAAAAAAAAAAAAAAAGTTTACTTTCTGTCATAGTCTCACCAAATTTGGAGTGTTTGTGACCAAGTGACCAGCAGCTTGTCTAGCTGTGTTTTGCACAGCCAAGTTTTTAAAAAATTCCAGCCTGTTTTCATGTGGACAGCTTGTAAAACTTTATCGTAACCCATGCTTATTATTTTATTGCCCACACCGTACCATCTTGGCAGCCTCCCCAAAAATGTATGATTTACCTACTGAAGTATACTTTAAAAATAAAGAGAGGCAGAGAACTTATCTTTGAGAACTTCTCTCTGATTTATGGTCAAGCCGAGATTATTCTGACTGCTGATAACAACTATACAGATTCCCATACCAAGAAATCTAAACTGTCTCCTCTAGACACCCAGTGCTGGTCCATGATGTTCTAATCTTGCCATTAGTTTTGCAGATTGTGTTCATGTGGACTGCTTTCACAAAGTCGCTGCTTCCTCTGGCTCATCAGTATGTAAAGATGTGAGGGATTAAGATTCAAGACATCATCTGAAATCCACCAACAGATGTCTCAAACTGAATTTTCTGCCTCAGAAAACTGATGCTCTTCAGAATGGAACATTGATTTCCTTTTGTTCAAAGAAACTCTTCATATTGTCATCACAGCTGCCTTCACATATCTTGCTACAGTGGCTACTAGTTGGTGGGTGTTTTGTTTAAAGAAAATATATCTTATCTAGTATTTCTTTCCAATAGTCCACAATCCATTCACAAGACAATACCCAGGACTGAATTCCAGCCATCAACAATACAAAAATACAGCACACACAGCATGGAAACTCTAATAATTGTAGTTTAACTATTCACCATAAACCTGGGCATGTGTAAGACTTGGTACACATAAAAGTGCAGAAAACCCCAAACATTGTTTATTGGAAAGCAGCAACTGAGTTAAACCAGCCAACTCCAGCTTTCCACAGCTTTCTCAAGGATATATTGGGTGACAGTCCTATTGTAGCTTCTGACCAAAATGTCTATTCTTTACCACACTAAGTCACAATGAAAATCAACAGGTAATTTAAATTAGACAAAAACACAAACCAAAGAACAGTTTCCACAGTGGTATTGTTTAAAAGTCCTCTCCCAATTTTCTACAATTTTCATTTGATAAGGTCTTTTGGTTTCCAATCAGACTTCAGATTCCAAACTGGAAACCCGTCGCCATGGTCGAAGTACACAGGGACTCCCCACAGGGTGGCTACCCACTCCCTGTCCTACTGGACCCTCTGATCCAGTCTGGGATCCCTGATAGACCCCATAAGCTCCATATAAGCTGTCCTGATACAGCAGGCCTCGCTGGCCTCCACATTGCCCACCACCACAGGCCAACAGCTGGCAAACGGGGCTGGAAGCCTGGCTGTGATGCTGGACATCTAGTGGACCATGGTAAAGTGGAAGTCCAGGGTATGAGTTCAGGTAGTGTGCGTACTGACGACTGAGAAGGCTGGTCGCTCTCCGCACCATTCCTCGTCCTAGCCCAGTTCCATGTCGTACTGCTTCCCCATATGTTGGGAGGTGGGTTGAGTGGGAGTAGCGCAGTCTCTGGCCTTTACGCCCATTAGGCCTCCTCTGGTCCTCCCTGATGTGGAGGTAGGTCTGATTCCTTGGGAGGCACAGGTTGTTTCGCAGATGGGCAGGATTGTAAGGCTTGGCGGATGTAGTTGGAGTGACCGCACATGGAAACAGATCAGGCAAGATTGAAGGTGATTGGCTGGACAAAGAAGATTGAGATTCATCAAAGTGACGAATTTGCTCGCTACCCCAAGTTGCTTTAAGAAAAGAGGGTCGGCGGTGCCTGCGTCGCCCTCTGAGCACAAGATCCTCTGGAGGCCAGGAGCCATAGTTCTCTACCTGAGGACACAGACTATCTCCTAAATAAATATTGTCAACACTTGGGTTGGAAACATGATTAGCATGAAGGTGATTGGCCTTGAGCTCACTCAAACCAATAGGACTTTTGTTGTTCATTCCCTGCTCCCCATGTTTTCTCCTTTCTACATCCACATTGTCACTCTGAAAACTCTTTGACCTCCTTTTTGGTTGGGAGAAGCCCACCTGGACATGTTGGTTTTGGGACAAGGAAACGGGATGTGATGTGTAGATGTCTGGCAGTTGGAGATCAGAGTAAGGAATGAAAGGAGAGTGAGAATAGGAATCTACATAGATTCTTCCAGTGGTGTGGTAGTGGTGTGGGTGCTGATGAGGAAGTGGCTCTCCTACAGCCAGGTGAGGGGTGCTCAGGCTAGACACAGGGAGTGGTCTGTCATACAGGCATGATGAAGAGCGGGTAGGAAGTGTGTAACGCAGTGGTGTTGGCCTGCTTACACCCCTCTGTTGCTTGAGAGAGGTAACACTCGTTAGAGGTGGCGTGATAGAACGCTGGGGTAGGGAGCAGTGATTTTCAGTAACATATGCAAAGCCTCCTGGCACGTTCTCCGTGGAAACTTGTTGAATACGAACAGGTAGGGTCCCACCATGACGACTTAAATGCTCTATGGTTTTGGTGGCGTTGTCCAAGGAGCTCTCAACATTGGCAGTGGAGACCAGATCCTTGGCAGTGCGAAGCATCTTTAGCATGTTCGCTTGAGCATAGTTGGAGGTCAGGTCAGGTTTGGCCAAACCAGATGAACGCCCAGGGTCCTCTACTCCTTTGAAACAACTGTAAATACCCTGAAAGATAAAAAAAATAGGAAAGTATTTAAATTAGGAAAGCTTAGTGCTGCCAAGTAAACTTAATATTCATCACATCCTAATTCATGCTCAATAATCCAGGTAGAAAAATAAAATAATAAAAATATTTTGGACCACTTTGGCCATGACTGCCTCAAACGAGTTGGCAGGGGAGAGGGCGGACTACAGAAACTACCGAAGCACCATCAAACTGGTTGACCCACTATGAAAAGGTGCTATTTATAAGACTAAATTTGTTGCAGCTCCTCAGACTGATGAAGTCTTTTGGATGAAAGACAAAACATTTCAACAAATAGAAACCGTCCAGACGACCTGACTTAACCTTGTTGGAAAAACATGAATCACTTTAACCCAACTAAAGAGTTCAATATGGAAGATTTTATAGTTATTTCAAATAAATGAGTTAACAAATAACAAAACCCATTAGCAAGAAATAATATATATATAGAGAGAGATATTTTTGCCTATAAAATATTGTTTTACTGGGTAATGTTTTACATTTGTTATCTTATAATTTGTTAAGCATTTTTTTGGAACTTAATAAAAACCTATTTAAACTGAGAAGATTGCCTCAGAAAATGTGAATAACAAACTAAAGTCCATCCATCCGTCCATCCACCCATCTATCATCTTTACTTGTTTCTTCCTTTCTGGGTTGCGGGGTCACTGGTGCCCTGATCCAGCAGTCACTGTGCGAGAGGTGGGTTACCCTGGACAGGTCTCCAGTCCATCACAAGGACACATGGAGACAAGAAACCATTCACTCTCTCACTCACACTTTAATTTAGATTTATCAATTAGCCTAACATACATTATTTGGTCTGTGGGAGAAAAATTGAGTACCCGAAGAAAATCCATATATGCGCAGAGAGAACATGCAAACTCTGCCAAGAAAGGTCCCCGGATCAGGATTCGATCCGGCAACGCTCTCACTGAGAGGCTGCAGCTCCACCAACTGCACCACCATACCGCCCAAATTAAAGTCCCTTTCAGATAATAAAAACTCTTTCCACCTGCATGGATAAACAAAATAACAGATTTCTATGACTTCCCTTTTCTTACAGCTGTCTGAGATCTGGAAAGAGTGCAGTTTAATTTGGCCCTAAGGGCCACTCATTAAGGATTATTTAGCCATTATTCTGATAAAATCCATGCACAATAGTATAATTACATAGCCGAGAAGCCTGAAGTCCATAGACATTTCCCTAGATGCAAGTTCAGCCAGAGCATTTTGCTTTTATAGACTCCCAAATAATGGTATCGCCAAACTGATAAATATTTTAGACAAATTGAAAAGAAAAGGAGTATTCACCTTCAAATGCTCTGTAGTCTAAAATGAGAGTCGGTTTTGGTCGTTTTGTTCCTGACTTCTATTTATATTAAGAGTAAAACTGTATTTTTGCTATTATCAAAACAAAGTTCTTTCAACCAACCACCTATCGTGCATTACATTTCCATCAAATAAAACTCAATGTAAAACAGCCTATCAAATGGAAAAAAAGCCAATTAGTCAAAATTATTGATGAACCAGTCTTTTAGTCTCCCAACCCAGATTTGATTACACTAATTCAATTATAGCAGGACAATTAGTCTCATAATTAATAAATCAATGCCCTGTAAGCAAATACTGACTCAACATGTTTTACAAAAAAACAACAACTTTACAATGCATCAGGGAGTTTACACAAAACATCTCACCCTACTGATGGCCAACAGGAAGTCAAGTTTGTGAGATTTGTGGAGAGAGTGTCGAAGTTTCCAGTAAAGTAGGTGCTCCCAGGCAAACACCAGCAGGCTGAGGCCCATTGCCACCAGAAGCATGTAGAAGACGCCCGCCATGTTGTCAATGTCCAACTTGCTGCTCATCACTTCGTTCTTCTCGTTCTGGCAGATACCAGACAACCAGACTGTTTCCAGTCGTTCCGTGTCTCCTAAAAGTTTTTTAAATAAAAGACAAGGAAAGAAGAAAATAGCAGATCTTTGAGGAAAACGTGATAAAGCAGTGCAAAAACGAGACTGCAGTTACTATCGTCTGTTATCTCAACTGTATCGGATGCTCTACAAAGATCTTTGTAACTAATTATGTATAACTGAGTATTTTTTAATCATTCTACAGCAGAATGAGTCACAGAGCTGATGGCAGTGCTTTCTGAGTTTTACAAGAGGAACATCTGTCTCAAGCATGGATTTCTTTGCCTAATTTGAACACATAATTGCTCTAAATTGATTTATCATTTATGACTTAGTTAAGGACTAGCTGTGTCTAAATTTATGCTCCGTGCTCTAAAGATACTTGATTTGTTGGTTTTTATTAAATAATTTGGGAACTGAACCACAAAACCAAAAATTTTTCATTTTTCTGTGGCATTTAATTTTTTCATTCTAAATCTATCAGTGTTAAAAAAAGATACTGTATTTTTTGGACTATAAGGCACACTTAAAATCCTTTAATATTCTCAAAAATTGACAGTGACCTTATAATCAAGTGTGCCTTATGTATTAATTCTGGTTGCGTTTACTGACCTCGAACCAATTTTATGTGGTTATTGTGAATGAATTGAATAAAGTTTGTAGCGTCCAACCTAGGTCCCTTAAAGAGACAGAATGTCCTGAGAGACACTGTATCTCTCCTACCCCCTTCTCTGGGTGCTAATCTCCCAAGTCAGGATGAGTCTACATCCAGGACCACCCTAAAATACTGACTATTAGATACTATTAGATAACTCTTTGTGCTAATTAGCCCTCTTTTCTGAGGAACAGACTTGGTGTCTCTTGACAGAAAGCTCAGACAAACAAGTGAACTTTACCTTACTCACAGGGACTATCGTTGCCATGGTAACAAAATAAGTTACCCCCCACCCCCACGCACACACAGTTGGACAGAGCTCAACAAATGTCTTTGTTTGTAACAATGGGGTGTCAGGATCAAACTTGCATTTTGCTAAAATAACTGGTGTTTATGTAAAACAAGGTGTTGCCATTTTTAACAAAGGTTATTGTGTTTCCTTAAAGACTTTGAGGAGAGGGTATAATTAAATTAATTTATGCAGTTGTTGTTCATGCCTATGGGTTGGGAGCTGCATTTTCATTGGTTAAAGATCAGAGGCATGGCCACTTCTGATGTGTCAGGTAAACGGACACCATAGGTCAGTTGTTGTTGTTGGGCAGTTGCTGGAAAGTTGTTGAAGAGAGTTGCAGAGGAAAAACTCTTGAGAGAGCAGTCTCATGATGGAAGAAGTGGATCCTGGTAGAGAGTTGTCTCTGAACCAGCCAGAAGTCTGCGGGACTCCAAGCCAGTCAACTGAGAGATGGAAAAAGTGCTAAATGCTCAAATACCCTGAAGAGTGATACTTGCTGCTGGAAGAGACATTGAAAGAAAACATGCCTTTTCCGGTGACAATGTGAACCTCCAGCCTTCATCACATTTGTCCTGGTAATGAGAGAGAGATGGACGTATCCCCGGTAGGACAAAAGTCTTCCTTCTGATGAGAAAACAACTAAGTGCCAACTGAGTTTAGACATGATTTAAGTTTACGAATCTGAGATAAAGCTTACCTAAATTTTAACGTTGGAGCTAAAACCTTAGTCCAAAATACTCTTCTCAAAGACTCTATTATTTACGTCATTCACTTTCTGAAACAATACTATTGGTTATTCATCCATATTTCATATTTGCCATAATTTTCATATTGTCATTATCAAACTGAAAATAAATGTCACAGAATTGTGTTTTTAAATGACCAGATTATTTGTCTTTTCTTTGAGTGAGGGGGTTTAAATTTGTTACAAGGACTCACGTATGTATTTTGGGGTTGAGGACGATCAACATTTATTACATAACTTTGAACGAGTGTAAACACCTGCTAAAAGGTGTTCAGATCACAGCCTTTTCCCCTACAAGTTTGATTTATCTGACTGTTTTGTTTCACCTAATGCGCCTCATAATCTGGTGCACCTTATGTATGAAAACAGATCCGTTCATTGATATTGTGCCTTATAATCTGGCGCGCCATATAGTCCAAAAAATATGGTAATCACCAACCACTGTGTGCATACAGAAAGTCTGTGTTTGTCCTGTATGTGTGTCATCTTTGTTTCACATGGTGCACACACTTGAAGTGATAATCTCATCACTCAAAAGCAAAGAGTCAATCCGCACCACGATGGGAAAACAAAATGGCCTTGTATTGTTTCTAACCTTAACTCTAACCCTGAGCAGCTGAACTTCCACAAAACAAGTGACACAAAGTGAATTTATGGCTCCACTACCAGCTTGCAGTTTCATTGGTTTGTAATCCAGTCCAATCCAGTGGTGATTAATCTGTTCTTTATCAGTGAATCACTTGCTGAGATTTAACTTGGACAGTCGAGAGCGTTTCACTGTTTAGCCTTAAAAGGCCTTCTTGATTTTCTTGTTAGTCGTCAACATTTGGTGTCTTGACAATGAAACACGTTATTTATAATCCACTAAACCAACACTTAAATATAGACTTAAGTATTTAACTTCACCTATCCATTTTCTGCTGAAGTGCCAAGATTCACAAATTATTATGTGAAGCTATAAGACAAAAAGACTTTTAGGTGTGAAGTCTTACAAACAGTATTTTCAAAACTTATAATTTAGTTAGTGAAAAATAAATTGCTTAAATAACACAAATACAATTTTAAAACTGTGGGAACGACGTCGGGTGTCCGTAGAGCTGCACAGTCTCGGTTCAAAACAAGCACATCAAAAACTGAAAGCAAAACTGAAATTACAACCCTTCAAGGATCCCATGGAGCTTCATCCATAGAATAAAAAAAAGTTGTCTCAGGTTTTATCCTTTTCTTTGTAGGAGGCTTTTATCTAAAGAAAGGCTCATTCGGTGGAGGATTATTTGGAAGTTTGCTTGATCCCGCTGCATTACGGAGGCACCTTATCTTTCACACATCACAGAACACAGGAGCAAGGAACATACTGGAGCTGGGAGATTTCACACTCTGCTCGTCTTCATACACAAAATACCTCCTGCTCCTTCACGAAGATTTAAAAATGTCTTCTTTACATATCTGTTGCAACTTCAGCATGGGAAATTGCAATTAATAGCCTTAAACAAGCACAGCTTTAAGGCGAATAAATTAGATCTACAATAGTCCCTCGCTACTTTGCGGTTCGACTTTTGCAAACTTTCTTTTTTGCGGTTTTTCAAATAAAGATTGTATTGTACATGAGAACAAAAATTGTACATGACACATGACTGTCAACTCTAATTTTATTCACGATTGGGACAGTATGGGATACAGTAAAAAGTGAACAAAAAAAAAAACCTTCGAAACAGGCGCCGCCATTTTGTAGTTTTCTCTCAATAAGCCTACACTGTATTGCCACTCATAAGGACTACATTTACCAAAAGCCAACAGTGGCATTGCATTCTGCTGAAACGGAGGGAAAGTTTTGATCGATCCAAAAACGTTTGGTCTTTATTCATTGTGACTTTGGAGTCCAGTGGATGCAGCGAGCCGCATGGAACCGATCGGGAACCGGACCTCCAGAAGCACCTGTCAATCTGAGGACCGCCCGCCAGCTCATGAGGCCTTCCGAGCGGGGAGGTGCCGCCCGGAGGTCCGGCGTTCTCTCCAGAGCCCACTTGGGCTTTCCCATCTAAATTTGAACTTGATAGGTCTTGTGCTGGCCATCCGAAGGTCCAGCTCTCTCTAAAAGCATCTTGGTGCTCAAGGGCTGCAGAGAGCCGACCAGAACCGGAAAGGTAGGATTGCCGAACCGGAACTGAGCCAGACCAGAACCGAGCCGCTGTGTTCTGCAGAGCTGGAGAGTAACATTTTGCAGCTCTGTGCAGTACATATATGCAAGTTGTAAATATTGCGTAGGTTTAAGAGTTTAGAACATTGTGGGCTTCGTCGCTGCAGGGTAGGTCTGCAGAACCTGAACTGAGCTGTTGTTCTGTACACTACTTATCGTTAAGTTATCTTGGTTGATAAACTCTTGCTAAATAAACTTTTGCTTTAGTTTAGTTGATTTAAATTTATTAATTGACTGAACTGCTTTGGTTTGTTGTTTCAACTCAGAAATCTGTCAATTTACCTTAAGTGTTAATAAAAAAAAACAATAATAAATAAATATAGCGTTTCCACATCGCGGTTTTTCGCTTATTGCGGGGGTGTCGGGAAAGCAACCCCCACAATAAACGAAGGACTACTGTAGTGGTATTTTTCTATTTTCTCTCTGAAAACAATAAAGCTTTACCTTTTTTTAAGCTGGTCAAAAAGTATTTCATGTTGACAATAAATCATTAAATGTGGAGCAAAACATGCCCACCACGTAACTTTCTGTCCCACATTTCTGAACAGGTGGCCTCGTCTAGGGACTATTTATTCACTCATTGACTGTACGAAGACTTTCTTTTCTAATCGGCGCTCAGAGTGTGTGGGAGTGTCTGTGGGGGCTGCTCTGAAGCTCCCAGAAGAGAGGATATTAAGTCCAAACCAGCAGCCATTATGACACGTGTCGGTGTGTCTGAAGGAGCTAATCCAATCCCTAACACCCCGCTGTTCTGCAGGATATTAACTCTTCGCTGCAAGTCCACTTTCCTGCTGACACAGCATTCGGTGATCTGGACTGACGCCCACTACGGAGCGCCCAAACAGAGAGTCAGTGGGGTAAAAATAAAAAAGAGACAAGGTTCTAAAATGTGTGTTTTTAATTTGAGGGTGTGCTTCACGTCATGTACAAACTGTGTTTAAAAGGTCTCAGACTACCTCTGGAGCAAAGGTGTTCTTAAGATATTGTTTAGATGGTGGTTTTACCATACTTGCCGCTGTATAAGTCGCATCAGTCCAAATACGTCTAATTAAGTGGAAAAAACATAAATAAGTCGCTTTGCCATATAGGTTGCATCTATTATGCATCACCGCTGACGTGTTGCATTTGTTATGTGTCACTGCAGACAACCCGGAAATGTGGGCCGGTGTTGTGCCAAAAATCAATTGGCTGCCAAATGGCGGCTGCAGGAGCGTGCACGGGAGGACTTTAACATGATTACCACTTAAAAACAATTATTTGCTTGTTTGAAATTACAGCAAAGGTGCGACTCAGTTTAACTTTTCCTTAATAAATGCACTTTGACAGTCAAATCAGCTGCATTTCAAAAGTTCAAGTCCCAGGACGACTCGCTATGCATTTCTTCGAAATTTACCAAGATAACCACCTACAAACAATGATTTGCTCAAGATTATAGTAAAGGTATGTCTCATTTGAGCTTTTTCCTTAATAAATGCACTTTGATGGTCAAATCAGCTGCATTTTGCCTGGGCAATACGGCTAAATGCAGCTGATTTGAAATTTGCTCCAGGAGTTCCAGATCAAGACTAAGGTGGCTTGGTATGGAAAGCCAAGCGTCTCATTAATAGCCACTTTTACCTATTAATGAGACACTTGACTTGCCATATTAGTCGAGGGCCCTCTAGTGGCTGAAAATGGTAGTGTTCAATATTTTCCATGTCAGAATGAATGAAATCGACAGATCTCGGCAAAAAATTGGATTTTAAATATGAGAAAAAAATATATATAAATATGTTGCTTTGCTGTATAAGTTGCTTCAGGTATCTAATTTATATAAAAAACTGTGACTTATACAGCAAAAAATATGGAAATCTTCTGTATCAATACATCTTAGCATGTGTGCTATGCTTGGGATCCACCTCGGACCCCTTGCATGTTGGGATTTGGAGAACTTTAACACAACTATTTCATTTTCTTTTTTTATTATTATTATTATTATCAAGTTCTGCGTAGAGTCAAACCCAGGTGTAGACAGACATGGGGAACTCAAGAATAAAACAAAGAATAACTATCTGTTTAACAAAACAAAAAGCTGTAATGACATCGAAACTTGCAAATACACAGGATTAGAGACATGGAGGAAACAGCAGAACAGCTGTGGGAAGCACAATCTATGGACAATGTGGAAACAGAGACGCTGAACTTAAAGTGATACTAATGAGACTTAATGATGAACATCTGGGGAAAGACTATGAGGAACAGGTGAGAGTGGCAGGAGCTGGAGCTAACTACATGAGGAGAAAGACACTGGGGAAACCGGGAAACCAGACTCAGAAACTAAATAAAAATAATCACAAGTAGACACAAAACACAGATCTGACAATAATGTTGTGGTGAAAAAAAAATCATATTTGCATAATTTTTTTTATTTTATTTTTTTTAAATCAGCATTTTAAAAAAGTTTAACACGGGTTTTGTTTTTTATGTCAAAATTTCTTTTTTTTTTTTTTTTTACTGTTTCAGGTGCATAAAACATTATTCTCTTCATTCTGACAAATGCATTTCGTTTTCTAGTGCAAAATTTAGCATGAAGAAATAAAGTGACTCTAAGTTTGTGGTCAATCTGGACAACTGCAAGATAAAAGATGTAGAAAAGTTTAAACAGAGTTATTGACAAACTAAAACCCTCTTTTTCCTTTTGATTGTGCAATGATGTAATCTGCAGGAAGCTCATTTTAGTGTAAAGGAAAAGAAGATGGACATTTGTTTTAAAGGAGTAAAGAAAGTTTTTGAGCATTGGTTTGACAGCTCATCTCCACAGTTCAGGTGAACTTTGTGCCAAATGTTCTCACTCAGACACCCCTGTCAACTGGACCTCAGGAGGGAGTTCACAAAGAATAATTCATTCAACTAATAAAGAAAAGGACAGGAATGCTTTTGATAGCACTTCTAACGTGACAAGCCTTGATCTTTGGATCATATTCATACTCAACTCATCTCAAAAGGAGGTTTAACAGTTCTGCCAGGGACTTTAAAGTTTCCTTATTGTAAAAGTGTGGGAGTTCTGCCCTGTCATCTCCCTGCAGCCACATCTGAGCACCAATCAGCAGCACCTGGGGATCATCAACTTGATGAGCAACAGGAGCATAAAAGGCTGCAGAGGACATCCAGTCAGGGCTGGAGCATTACCTGCCAATGTGAAAAATCACTGATGTCCTCCGGTCCCCTGGATTCTCCTCTGTGGACCTCAAGCTCTCCTGTGCCTCCTCAGCTGCCTCCACAACTTCCTACCACTTGCTTGCCTCCTGCCTGGAACCATAGGTCATCTCATCCCACAACTGACTCCTGCTTCTACCAGTTCCAGCTCCCTCCCTGGCACAATTTATGAATTATCACTTGTAAATAAACACTGTAAATATATTTGGTCTTGGCATCTTTTCTCTTCGGTCCTTGTATCTGAGTATAGCTGCAATCGTTAAAAAGTTTCTTGTCTGTGTGGAAATCCTTAGTGCACCTATATAATACTCAGAACAGGGGCACCGAGAGTGATCTGCATTTGCTTTGACAGTATAATTTCATGTTTTAGATAGGGATGCATGATATTATTGGCATGGTATTGGTATTGGGCCCTGTGATGGACTTGCGAACTGTCCAGGGTGTACCCCGCACCTCGCACAGTGATTGCTGGACATGGGCACCGGCGACCCCAGTGATCCAAAATGGAAGAAGCAGGTAAAAGATAATGGATGGATGGATGCTATTATTATCGGCCGATATTAGCGTTAAAGTTTAATATTGGGCATCGGCCATACCATTAAATAACTCTCCGATATAAAAGGCGCTGTTTTTGCCTACAGTGGCAGCACAACGTGATGACGTCACGCGCGCCTACCTGATCTCACTGTGGAGAGAAATATTCAAAATGTCAGCGGTGTGGAAGTTTTATTTTTCGTTGGCGAGGATGTCGGATTCCGAAGATTTATGGACTACGTTGAGCCTCGCTACATTGTCCCCAGTCTGAGATATTTTTCCGACGTAACATTACTCGAGTAACAAGCCGTCATTTCCAATGTCATTGAGAAGCTAATAGCCGATAGCACGACTTGTTGGGTGAGTTTTACCACAGGCATTTGGACATCGTGTTAGTCCCGCTAGCATGATTAGTCTTACGGCACAATGGATAGACAAATCTTTGAACTTAAAAAGGCTGTCCTTCATGCACAGGAGTGCAGAGGATCCCACACTGCAGCTATAGGAACTTGGAACAAGCCTCCACAAGTGAGACAACATCGCAGGTGACTAATGCCCATAAATAACATTTAACACTTTTCATTTAATATAGGATAAAGCGCTATGCATATCATATGGCTGTTACCAAATATATGTCATCAGCTCTTACAGCTGTTGCACAATTTTTGTAGCAAATAAGCCTAAATAAGAGGGCTATGTTGTGACAAAGGAACGTATATAAAATATCTGCATCAGCGTCGGTTATTGGCCAAATAAGTTTTAACATATCGGTTATCAGCCAAAAATCCAATATCGTGCATCCCTAGTTTTAAATATAAACGAGGGTGATATTTGCAGCTTTTATGGCTTAAGTCTGTGCTCACCATCTCCAAGGAATTGCAGCAACGCCAGGTCTATAGGTCTTTTCCAGCGCGAGTCTTTTTCCAGAGCAATTCCATATCCTGTGGTGGCAAACACCTTCCCGCTGCCAATGGTCACCAGTTTGCAGCCCTCGTCTTTTCCGGCCATGTAGTTCAAGACAGCAGCATCGTAGATGAAGGCATCCAGTTTCCTGCATAGAAGAAGATTATCCATGCTTGTTCTAGTTTATTTCTCACACATTCCCTCCTAATATGCAGGACAGTGACTTTTCAGGTTTTAGACCCATTTTTTAACTTTCAGATTGTGCAGCTCTCAGCTAATTATAGCAGCAGTCAACTCGCTGGTGATCTATCACTGTGAACCTTTTAGTGATTTGTAAGAAACTAATGTTTTGACTTAATAAAAGACTGACCTGACAAAAGCAAATAACTTAGAGCAAAATTCTTTGCGGGGATTATTTTGCTGCAAGATTGTCAAATCTGTAGTAGGAGGCTGTAGATTGTTAATGCGGTGATTTGAATAAGTCAGAATTCCAGTACAGACTTAATTAAATTGTATTTAGTTTTGGGGGTTAGGCTCTCATTAACCACTGGGAAAAATATAAAACAAGGCTAAAGTATTCAATGGATGTGCCACTTCTTCTTCGTCTTCTTCTTCTTTTGGCTTTTCCCTCTTCAAGAGTCGCCACAGCAAGTCATCCTCCTCCATCTCACTCTGTCCTCACTCCAACTACCTCCAAGGTCTCTCTAACTGCATCCATATATCTCCTCTTTGTCTTTTTCCTGGCAGCTGCATTTCTAACATCCTTCTACCAGTATACCCACTGTCTCTCCTCTGGACATGCCCAAACCATCCCATTCTGGCCTCTCTAACTTTATATCCCAGTTGTTCAACCTGTGCTGTACCTCTGATGATCTCATTCCTAATCTTATCCATCCATGTCACTCCTAAGGAGAACCTCAACATCTTCATTTCTGCTACTTCCAGTTCTTTCTTCTGTCCACCGTCTCCAGACCATACAACATAGCTGGTCTCACCACTGTCTTGCAAACTTTACCTTTGACCTATGCTGAGACACTTTTGTCTCAAATCACTCCTGAAAATTTTTCTCCATCCACTCCATCCTGTCTGGAGTCTCTTTTTCACCTCTTTACCACACTCCCCATTTTCCTGGACAGTGGACCCCAAGTACTTGAAGTCATGCACCTTTGGGACCTCTGCTCCTTGTAGCCACACTGTTCCACTAAAAGTTTGGAGTCAAACCAATAAAAGATGGCCCCCAAAGCTAATCCACATTAGCCATAATAATCTGGGCTTTGACTTGATCAGTTTTGTAGATGTTGAGCTAAAATTTGAGGTTGTAGTAACGGAGAGTCATTTATAGCATTTACTCTTACGTCTCATGATTAAGAACACTTTGGTCAAGGTTTAAGCAAAGATCTATTCATTTATAGTTTTAATTTTCAAAAATAACTTATTTTGTGCATATTTAGACAATATTTTATGACTGATTAGTTGTGGGTGCAGATGCTTGGTGGTTATTTGTCATTACGTTGTTGTCAGTAGGTTTGATTACACCAACTAGAGTCAGTTTATCATCTGACAGATGAATTGGTGTGTTAACCTTCAGCTTTCTCACACTGGCATATTTCTACAAATACAAATATTTAGCATAAGCATCCTGTCATCCAGAACGCATCCTCAAGGACTTAAAATGCTATTTGTGTCTTTGTCAGGATGAAATGTTTGACGGCAATTTTTTTTTTATTGTAAATTAGGCAACACGAGACATGGCAGCATCTAAAAATACACACATCACAGCAGCCTAACTCAGAAATAGGTACGAAACACAAAGAGCATCAAATCTTTGCTGTGTCACTGAAATTATAATCATCATTTCTGGGCCGTCTTGTAAAGCTGACACAAAGGAAGGGAGGGAAGAAAGTCAAAAATAGCTTCCCGCTTGTAATTATGCGAAACGCTTAAAGTGTGAGCAACTCTTTACCCGTTTTTCAGGCTATCCAGGGCCTCTTCCACCCCCTTCTGATTGTATTTCATCATGTGTGTGTGCATGTCAGGGTAGTTGCTGCGGATGTTCCTCTCTGTGCTCCCATTTGGGACTGTCCCGAAGCGAAAAGGAGGGTAATGCTCCTGTGGTTTCTGGAACTGTAGAGAGACGAGAGGAAGAAGGGGTGAGGAAGGGAGAAGATCAGAGAAATAAACAGTAAAGGCAACATTGGGTAGTTAAAATCCAACAAATAGAGAACGAAAATAAATCAACTAAAGGTCTATAATTCTGTAAAAGAATAAATAATGCCTGTCAACTTTTTTGCCAAAACAAAAAAGTCTTATAATGAGAAAATAATTACAGTTTTGTTCAAACCTTGTTATATTACCACATCAAATTTTAACTCAATATCGGTAAAATTGACCGAGTTGCCATTTTTGTGTCGGCTTATGCCAACAAGATGAGATAGCAATCTTGAACTGAACTGACTGCAGAACGTAACTAGAGAAATTGTATTTTCTGCGAAAATGCAATGTGAATGCCTATTGCTGAAGAACTTGCTGAAAAACAGCTGAAATGTAGCTGGAAAAAAAGAACAAGCCTACATTAGCAGAAGAAAGCAGAAAGAACATTTATTTGCTGAATTGGGTTTAAATAAGCCAAAATTAGCACACAAATTAGGAAATTAGCTAAAAAAAAAGGCTGAAATTAGTCAAAAAAAGGCTGAAAAGTAGCTGAAAGGCAGAAAGAAGCTTAAACTGCAGAAGAAATGTGGATTTAGCTGAAAAAGCAAAAATTAGCATAAAACAGCTAGCTGAAAGAGCAGAAAAAGCTGAATATTGCTGAAATAAGCTGAAAGGAGCATAACAAGCTGAAATTAGCAGAAAAAAGTTAGAAGAAGCACAAAAAATGTTGTAGTTAGCAGAAAGAATATGAAAGGAGCACAAAACATTTGAAATTAGCTGAAAATAGCTGAATTTTTTTTTTTAATTTGCACAAAGAAGTTGAAAGAAGCTGAACCAAAAAAAAAAAAAAATGTGAAAAGAGTGGTAAAAGGTTGTAAACAGAGCTAAAGATTTGATGGATTTAAAAAGAGCTCAATTCATTTTTCTATAACAAAAATGTCAGAAAAGGTTCAATATTTCAAAAAGCTAAAGTTGCACCAGTACCAAAAGTCATGGCGCCCTTCTCCTGAAAGAGCTGAACTTTTTTTTTTTACTAAATTGATGAAATACCTTAAAAACTGCAGGACAAGAATCGCCTCGAAAAATGTACAGAATAGGGATAGTGACAGCCAGGAATAATAATAAATATAAACAGAAAAACAATAGTGTGGCTGCTTAATAAGCATCCACACTATTAGTTGTATATTTACACACACTGGTTGTTTTCTGGAAGTTTCATTAAAATCCATCCATTAGTTCATGAAATATTTGGCTACCAATACAGACAAAAAAACTGACAGACAGAAAACCATTATTCCCATCAGTGATAGGGTGAAACAAAAGACCAATTAAATAAAATGAGATGTGGAAAGCAAAACAATGTAGAGATTATGAAGACTGATCTACAGATCAAATGATGATACAAAACTGTTCCGAGTTGTTAAAGACTGAGCAGGAGAAAACAGAGGATAGGAAGATTGAAAGTGGATAGAAAATGTAAAGAAAACAAAAAATATTTTTGTTTAAGTAAAAATCAGGACAGGAAGAAAAGTTACAGCAAAATGAAAGAGGAGTTAAAGAAGTGAATTTAAAAAGGACAGGACAAAACTGGAAAATAAAGTTGGAAAGGCAGAAATGAGACAAAGGGACTAAACAGAAGAATTAAATCCATTTTGGACCCAAAATTGATCCAATCTGCAGCCGAACCCAAAGCTGCGTTAATGATCTGAGCTGATCATTCCCTTCAGTGCTCTCACATCATTTTACTACACACAGATTATTCTAATCCAGTTCAATCTGTGCCAGAGGTTCACATGATTACACAGAACAGAGCAGAAATCTGTTTGTTAAAGCTCAATTAGACCATAAAAAAGGACTTATTCATCTTCGTTACAGCACTGACCTTTGGAGCTGAGCTAAACGAATGGTCCAATCACCGTGTGTGTGTGTTTGTGTGTTATTACAGTGTAAATATAATCACTCTTCAGATTGAACTGTAATATGTAGTGAACTTAACCTGATGTCAAGACTAAGCCTAAGGTCAAAACCCTTGACCTTAAGAACCTTGTGGGACAGGAACTGTCATTTCATTGATTTGAATCCAGAAATACAGGTTCACCCATCCTGAGACTCTCTTTCTTGAAAATCAAGTGAAAGAACACTCTCTTTTTATTATCATTACTATTTTACAAATGTTGATAATCAAAGTGTCTTAGTTCAAACCATTTTAGATGTTGCAGTGAACTAATCAATTTTATTAACTGTGGAACAGTGTAATGATTTTTTATGCTTATGCAAAGTTAGAATTCATGTTAAAGCTGTTACAGAGTAATTATGCATTTTCTGATTTCTGTCTTTGAATGAGCAAGTGTGCGTTTTGCAAGGTCAGGAATCGAAGCAGACATGTGTTGGAACAACTGCCTTGTTTTTACATCCTCTCAGACGTCAACAGGGGGGTTTTGGCACCTGTTTCTAAAACTCGCCAAAACAAAACACTCTCTGTCTGTGAGAACAGTTTAATCTGTTCAATAACATTCTTGCTGTCTTCTGACTTTTAGTAACCCTCTTACATCACAAAACACACCCCTGTCTGGTCGGTACTGACCAATGGGAAGACTCCCGAATGAACCGGGAAAAGAGCTCTTAAAAATGCCGGTACTTCCTAGTTCTCACGGAGTTGAGTTGAGTAGAGTTGAGTGGAGATGAGTTCTGAGTCTGGACAGTTCAGTTCTGTGCGGAGAAGTTCAGTTCGGTGAAGCTTCTGAGCAGTTCGGTCCTGCGCTGAGAAGTTGTTTGGGAGAACAGAAGTCCAGCATGATAAAGCTCTTCCGAGTTTCATGGGATTATAACATTTTCCACTGAGGTGAGCTTGTGTCGGACAGAATCTCGCCATTACTCCGGAGTATTCACAGCCATCCTACGGAGACGCTGAAAGGGTGCGTTAAACGGAATCTCGCCTGAGACATCTCCAGGTAAAAGAGTCGATTTCACCACCTAAGTGTACTGTAAGGAAGAAGCTGAAGAAAGCCCGGAGAGTGCCGTTCTGTTCAACACTCTCCCTCAAACACCATCTTTCACCCCTTTAAACTTCATCTTTTCATCTTTAAATTCTTCTCTAAAGTAGAAATCCTTCCAGATAATTTAGAAATGTCTGTGTAAAGTGCTCATCCACCGCCGTGTGGGTAATTGAACATAATTGTACAGTTTTCATAAATGTCTGTGGTGAAGCAACGGAAAATCATGGCCGTATGGTTTTCCTGATTGATTATGTGTTATTTTCATATTTTGCCAAATTAATGTAAATGTTTGATGTTAAACTTTGATTATGTAAATAAATGACCGCATTCATTTTGATGGGTCAAAGATAAATGACGTCTCACGTTTGCATTTCATTAAATTCAATGCACGTTTTATTCAGTCCAGAAAAATGAGGAATCCGTGTTAATTGATGAATATATCTGAGCATCTGTTCATCTACAAATAGATTCAACTGAATTTATTTTAAAGTTTTTTTAAGAAGACTAAATAAAGATCATCTCATCCAAAAGAATAAAATCAGATGTGATTTTTGAATATTAACCTATTATTATTATTATTGTCAAAAAATATCCCCTAAAAGCTCCATTAGAACAATTTTAGTGGTTAGGAATATCTTTATTTAGTCAAAAATTTAAAGAATAGACAAACGGTAAACAGTTTTTTGCAGACCATTAATGTTTTATACTATTTTTATCCAGATTTTTTTGTTGAATTTGTTACAATTATTATCACATATGTTTAAAAAAAAAGTCTTGATTTCTCTTTTACTAAGATAATTCTAAGCCTTAATTGTCAGCAAACCCAAAATCAAACGGCGCTGACAGAAATTAAACTGTCTAAGCACAATTTTAAAAAATGAAGTCTTCCTTTAAAACATCAGAACAGTCCTACATCTAATTAGAACACTGCAGATTTATTGCAAAAAAGAATGCCTCTTTGCTCATCATGGCAAAAATCATAATCAAAATCATATGTAAAATTAAAATAAAATCTCTAGCTGCTTTATCAAACACCCGTAATTGAAAATAGCTTCCAACAAGCTGTTTGCACTCATTTACTTGTAAGCATTAAAGTAAAATATTGAGCCATGAAGACAAAGTTTATAGATTTTTTTATTTTATTACTTCTTGTCTGAGAAAATAAATGTTAAATTTTTAAATCAGAATATTGTACATAAGCATACCAGTAGCCTTACAACAATAACTAATGATTGCAATAAAGTATAACCTGCTAACTACAGCAAGATCCGTTTTTCTTCTTTCTTCTTTAAACTGAGAAGAAAATTAATTTTCATCAACTCCAAAAATCATTGTTTTTGTACTTATAAGATATAATATGTCATTTATATCTTATGTCATGTTTTGTTTATTGCAGGGGAAGTGATGGATCAGGGGTTGGAGAAGGTGAGCTTGTGATCAGAAGGTCGCTGGTTCAACTCCCTAGACTGACATCAAAAGTGGGTGGGAAAGGTGAAGCATCCATGTTTGTGCTGCTGTTCGACGTAATGTTTTTATGCTACTAGTGCTTAGTGTATATTTAGTTATGTTTTTCTTAGTTCATATCTTAGATCTTATTACTGTTTTTCTTTTGTAACTGGGACCCTGCGTAAATAATCTCGTTTCACCACATGTACCACACGAGATGCGAATGACAAATAAATCGCTCTGACTCTGAAATGTGCAGCAGGTGCTAAATAATTAAAAATAATTTATTTTAAATAAAAATCCCATGCTGATCGTGTGGCTCATCCATCAATCAGCCAGTTGTGTGTCATGTCCAATGTTATTTTGAAAAACCGCGATAGAGCGAGTTCTCTATAAATCCATCCATCCATCCATTATCTTTACCCGTTTATTCCATTTTGGGTCACGGGGGTCACTGGTGCCCATGTCCAGCAATCACTGTGCGAGGGGCGTGGTACACCCTGGACGTGTCGCAAGTCCATCACAGGTCCACATAGAGACAAACAACCATTCACTCTCTCACTCACACCTAGGGACAATTTAGAGTTACCAATCAGCCTAACATGCATGTTTTTGGTCTGTGGGAGGAAACCGGAGCACCCGGAGAAAACCCACGCATGCACGGAGAGAACATGCAAACTCCACCCAGAAAGGCCCCTAGACCGGGGTTTGAACCAAGGACCTGCTCGCTGAGAGGCAGCAGCTCTACCAGTTGCGCCACCGTGCTGCCCGGGCTATAACACTATCCTTTTCAAAACTCTGCATTTATTTCTCCACATTTCATCTAAAATATTAAAAAAAAAACAGTTTTCAGACTCCTAAAATGTGTTCTTTATGTGAACACAAGGCTAAAATTATGACCTTTTTTGTATACACAAACCATTGTGGTAAAGAGAGCAACTTGGTTGAGCCCAATACAAATCAGGTCTAAAAATCCTTGGGACTGTTCACCTTACATTCTAACACTTTTCTTAGTTTTAATGCATGGATTCTTTCATAAAACAATTTTTCATCCATGCAAGGTTTAAGTAGTCTTTTCAGAGTTCAATTCTGAATCCTTGTGCACTGAACGACCAAGTTGTGATCTGGATCTTTTAAATGTATTTTTCTAACTGAACACAATGTTCTCACCCTTAAAGCAAGAGAGATATTACGTAAACTCAACTAATTCTTTGTCGTCTTGAATCTCCGCATTAAAAAGTAGTTGATTTCATGCCATGCGGGCTAATTTATACAAGTCTTTATGCTGTGGGACCTAATTCATTTGCATAAAGTTAATATATACAAGTGTAATACTGCAGTGACTCCACTGATCTCTGCCTGGAAGTTATGATTTTGCTTTGTAAGAAGAATGATGAAATTGTTTCTTGTAAAGGTCCACCAAGACTTCATTGCCAGATTGTGTTTGCGTGCGCACACTTAAATGATCAGGAAAGTATGTGACTGCTGCTCTCCTTTGCGCCTTTACTGTGAGTTTCTTTTTATTCATTTGACATTTTGCGATCTTGTTCAAACAGTGTGAGAGACAAGAGACTGAGACCTCATACTGGGGGGAATATTGATGGACGAACCCGAAATACTGACAGAACAACTTAAGACTCAGACACCGACTGTATTAACAGACGGCAGTAATCGATTAGTCACTCATTCCAACAGGCTTCCTGCTGATAGGGAAAGGACAGAGGCATTCACTACAAAAAAACCTTCTGCTTGATTTCTTCTCAGAGACTTAAGTCCTTCTGCTTCTCTTGTGGTCATGGTGCTTTAGTCGAGGAATCAAGAAGAACATGGGAGGGAGTTCTGGCTTGAGCCGGAAATAGGTGAAGGCGGTCAAAAATGTTTTGCGCATGTCTTTGTGTGTTCATATGTTTGCCAAATATCTCAAACCTCTAGATGCAATTTACCAAAATTTGCAGAAAGTTTTCATTGGATTTAGATCTTTATCTTATTGACTTTTGGAGTAAACTTGATTCAAGATGGCTGCCACAGCCATCTGATCTTAAAATGCAAGAAAAAATGGCTACAGCTCAGTCAATTGTACAGATATTGATGTAACTTCTGATGTAGCTGAGGCTCCCAAAACAAATTCTGAGGTCTAATGGCTTTTGCAGGAACATTGTTTAAATAAAAAAATACCAATGACTTCTTAGAATCAATCCCATCTGTCTTTTAGGAAAACATCTTATAAACCGGTGGACAGATTAGGGAAAATCATTAAACAAACCTTTTTACTTGATTAACTTTAGAAGTGAACCCAATTCAAGATGGCAATAACAGCAAACTATTCTTGAAAGACACACAACTGGCTTTAATTCAGTCCGTTTTACAGATACTGAACTAAAATTGGGTGTAGCTGAACTCAGTGCTAATCAGTTCACAATATACCGTATTTTCCGCCATACATGTCACACCGACCTATAATTTGCATCAGTCCAAATATGTCTAATAAAGTGGAAAAACACATAAATATGTTGCTTCGCCATATACGTCGCATCTATTATGCGTCACCGCTGACACGTTGCGTTTCTTACGAGTCACCACTGACAACCTGGAAATGTGGGCCGATGTTGTGCCAAAAATCGATGGGTTGCCAAATGGCGACTGCGGGAGCGTGAACGGGAGTACTTACATGATACAATGGCATGCCTTACTATTCGACTGCCATCTAGTGGCTGAAAATGGTAGTGTTCAATTTTTTCAGTCAGAATGAATGAGAATGGTCATATCTCAGCCAAAAAATTGGTTTACAAATATGGGGAAAAAAATCCATAAATATGTTGCTTCAGCCTATAAGTTGCAGGGCATGCAAATTATGCAAAAAATTGTGAACTATACAAAAAATACGGTATTTGCTTAAAACTGCAACATTAACGTCTGAAGTCAACCTTGTTCGTCTGTCAGCAAAATATCTCACGAGTCATTAGATGGATTTTAATGAAACTTTCAGAAAGTAATAACTGGATTTGCATCTACAACTGATATATTTTAGAGTCAATCCAATTAAAGATGGTTGTCACAGCTGATCTTGGTCTGTCATCTCTGTCCATGTTGTGAGCATGATATCTTGAAAAATAAGTGAGGTACTGACTTCCATTTTGGAGTATGACTGCATCTTGGTATAATAAAGGTTCCACTTGAAAACTGGGTTGCCACATCAAAATCCAAGATGGCTGCCACTATCAATGTATTGTGAGTTGGATAACATTAAGGTTTACTTGCATTCCCTGTTCAATTCCAGTCCACAACACTCATCTCAAAAACAACAAACATTCACTATTCAAATTCCTCAGCATTGACGTTCTGCTTGTTTTGTTAAGTCTCTTACCTTCTTGTCAGAGAGGCCAGACACTGTATCGATGTATTGTTCCTGGATCATGAAAGCAGCAAGGTTGGCAGTGTAAGAAGCCAGGAAGATAACAGCGAAGAAGGCCCAGACCAGTACCATGATTTTACTGGTGGTTCCTTTGGGGTTCTCAATGGGGACAGAGTTGTTGAAGACAATACCCCACAACAGCCACACAGATTTCCCTATGGTGAACGTCGGACCCCCAGAAGCTAAAGAAAGACAGATGCAATAATCAAAGTTTGCAAGTTTTAACGAAATAGATGTTTACCTAGAAAAAAAAAAACATGGTTTACTCTAAGCTATTGTTTCATGTCCTTGTTAAAACTTCCAAATGAGAGATTTTCCCTTCCTCCGCTCGTTTTCATTGTTCTTTACCATTGTTGCTCTTGTGCAGCAATAGAGTTCTACCATCATCAATCACACTTCAATTAGCGCAGCCACAAATGCTAATTAAAACAAGGAAATGACCTTTCGGACCTGGAGACAGGCACGCTCTGTCAGTGCTGCATTTTGCGATTGATTAGCCCTCTTCCCAAAAATCTTGTTTAGTGGCTCTAACTGTTGCGGGACACGCAGGCAGATCGAGCTGAATTACGCAGGCTTACTGTGAAATACTTTGTAAATTGAGTAGCTCTAAGCTGTCTGATGGATATGTTTAGAAGGATACATACAAATAAATCTACTTGAGCCATTTAGTCGTTCTACTGTGGATTTTATGGGATGAACATTAACTGCAGTGGTTTTTTCCAGCTAGTTTTATAAGATTGCGGAAATACATTTCTCTATCATTCTTCCTATATGTAACATTAAAACAACGAAGGAGTAAAACTCACCTTTAGCGCTCACCAGACTGCGATTGTAGCCAACCGGACTGAAGTATTCAAACACAAACACGGTCACAGCCACCACGGTCAGGCACATCACAAACATCATGACCCAAACTGCTGGACTGTAAGGCTCTGGCAGGGGTAGAAAGGACAAATAGCATGAAAAATCCACGAACCACTGCATTAAAGTAATTCTTTTTTGTGTGTTTTACGCTTGTAAAGTTAAAACGGTGGTCGAGGAGTTGCCATGTGAGGTTTGAGGATAGAAGAAGGTAGAATGAAAATTTACAAACATCATCTTTTCAGGATTCTGAGCTAAAGTTTATTTGGGTTTTGGAAAAGGGATTTAGTGTTATGTGTATGTGGACTTTTATAGATTACAGCTATTGTGGTATAAAAACTTAATGGAAAGTTTCTTGAAGTCTCTACAGGGACAAAACTTGATTAAGTAGGCCACCCTGGAAGAAAGCAGAGAGAAAAATGGTAGGAACAACATGAGAACATACAAAATGAACAGGAAAGACCTGTTCCTTACCAAGAAAAGCAGACGGGGATACTGTTCCGTTACTACGAGCCACCATGACACTGATGCCCGTCTCAACAAACGGTACGGAGAAGTCGATGATTTCAGAGCGCTCCTCGTTGATGGTGAGAGAACCGATGGCCATGTCAGCACGCCTGTACACAACCTGAGAGGAGACAGAGATGAAGATGAGGATGATGCAAAGCTTCTCCAGTTAAATGTTAAACAATAAGCATGTGACGTCACATCAGTATGGCAGCACTGACAGGAGCTCCACTTCAACTCGTTTTTTTTTTGCGACTGTACTGCACATCCACGCTACAGGTATGACCGCGATGCATTTGTGGAGTTTTTTATGTGTCACTGCCTTGCCATCGTGCCATCGTGGTTCAGTTCCTGGTCGCCTTCCAGCCTTGGCCTCAGGCTCCGTACTGTCATGGCGGCCGTCTCCATGAGGCTCCATATGCCGGATCGGACTCTATGGAACAGTTTGGTTCCGCAGGAAAACTTTGGATGTTCTGTATCTGCCGGATACGGATCTGGAGGGCAGTCACCATCCGTTGTCGAGTTCGTTATTATCATCATACTGCTGACAGACCCCACTGCTAACAGAATCGCTCTGCTAATAGAACCATGCTGCTGTGGATGTATTTCTTTTTCACTTTTGGTGCCTTGTTTTGCATTTTTGTTGCATGCTTTGGTATTGCTTGTTGTTTTTTTTTGTTTGTTTTTTGTTTTTGTTTTTTGCAAGTCAAAATCGAGACGGTTCTTCTCGTCCTGAGCATTTCGTTGACCTCGTGTTGACCTGCATATGACAATAAACCTAAACGTAAGTAGTCAAAATTCATAGAAGTATTTGAAAACTCTTCAACATTAGTCAACAATTTAGTCAAAGCCTCTATCAAAGATTCCAAATTCATTTGGATCTTTATAAATGCAGTCTCTGTAATATGATGGACTGTTGATCGATTAAGATAAAAATCGTTGGTTACGTACTGTAACCCCAGATTCTATGAATATAGGCGTAGCCCTTTAAGGCTGTCGCTGATGGGTTTATCCCGTTATGCGCAAGCATCATACTGAAAAAATTAGTCCACGCCCACCTGCTGTGTGGGCCCCACCCGATCCGTATAAATTACATTAAGAGCGGGTAATCTGCTCCCAAATAGCTTATTCTTTTCTTCAGCTATTCAGGAGCCAGTGAGGCCCGACGCTTAAAGGGCTACGCCTATATTCATAGAATCTGGGGTTACAGTACGTAACCAACGTTCTATTTCATATAGGCTTCGCCCTTTAAGGCTGTCGCTGATGGGTTAAGGGCGAAGCGGATGTGGTCCTCGCCTCACTGGGTCCATTCGAACACAGTAAGAAGCGGAAGCTTGCCCAAAAAACGTCTTGTCACTCAGCTCCCCATGTGCATAACTACGCATCGCGTAATTGTGTGCCATGCACAGACGCATGTTGTGTAACTATGCGTTCTGACAAAGCGTGAGCGCCCCGGAAAAAACTTTCAACGGGGAGAAGATGTTGAAAAGAGGAGGGGGGGGGGCATGAAGCAACTGGTTCATGATTGAACAGTATAAACAGATTAATATCAATGAACTGATTATTGAACAAATGAACTGATTGGTAACAATAGTCATGAACTGATTAGTGACAATAGAACCAAATCACAGACACAACTTGTGGCTGATAACAACATCTCACACTGTGAAGCATGCAGACAGATGTGAGCTTAAACAGAGTTCCATGAAAAACAACAATATTCATTCTGTTAGAGCACTAAGAACAGAATGTGTCATGGAACGAGCCGTTACATCACGTAGGTAAAAGCGAATAAATGAGCAGGGTGTTGACCATGCAGCCGCAGTGCAAATGTCCTGCATTGGCATACCATTATGCAGAGCAGTCGAAGATGCGATACCCCTGGTTGAGTGTGCTTTGAGGTTGACAGGAGGCTCTAGATCTGATGCTCTGTAGGCTTCAGAAATGGCCTCACACAGCCAGTGTGACAAGCGCTGGGTGGATAACGGGCGACCTGCAGATGCATCTCTATAATGCACAAACAATTGTTGAGTTTGACGCATTGCAGCTGTGCGCGCTATGTAACACGACAACGCCCGCACCGGACAGAGAAGATGAAAAGATGCTTCTTCTTCTGATCTGTGGGGGGGAGGGAAGAATCCCTCCAACGATATCTGTCTCGATTTAAAAGAGCTCGTGATGTTTTTAGGCATAAAGGCTGGGTTTGGTCTTAAATCAGCTGAACTACCGTCAGCCTGGATTCTGAGACATGACGGAGCGGCAGAGAGGGCCGATAAATCACTCACCCTCTTAGCGGATGTTAAAGCCAGCAGCAGGGCTGTTTTAAGAGACAAGAATTTAAGTGAAACCTTATCTATAGGCTCAAATGGGGCTTTGATCAGGGCTCGCAGAACCAGTGTTAAATCCCACTGTGGAACGAGTGGGCGTGAAACCGGCCTATGTCTCTGTACACCTTTTAGAAACCGCTTCATTAGCGGGTGATTAAAAGCTGTTCTGTCTCCGAACCCTTCGTGGCAGGAAGAGATGGCTGTAGCGTACGTTTTAATCGTGCTGAATGCCAACTTCCTATCCATCAGCTGTTGAAGAAAGGACAGCACGCCGCCTAATGGACATGAGGTGGCCTCTAAACCTTTCTCTGTACACCAGCGCTGAAAAGCCGTCCACTTTGATGTGTACAGGGCTGTGGTAGATGCAGCGCGTGAATCTTGAATTGTGCGCACTACCTCCTGAGGGAGACCCATCTTCTCTAAGCGGGACCGCTCAGCGGCCAGACCCACAGGTGCTGGCCTATTTCCGGGTAACTCCTGATCGCTCCTCCTGCTTGAAGGAGAGCATCTTCCCTCCACGGCAGTTTCCACGGACGACCCGACAACAGACGTTGCAGGACTGGGAACCATGGTGCGTTCACGCGCTCGGGAGCTACCAGGAGAGCTGTCAATCCTTCCTCCTGAACTCGGTTCAGGAACCGTAAAATCAGAGGAGGAGGGGGGAACGCGTACAGAAGCGTTTTGGGCCATGGACTGTGAGCAAATGCATCCACCCCCAGCGGTGGATCGTCTCGTGGGCTCAGGGAAAACCATAATTGGCACTGAGCATTCTCTCGCGTCGCAAACAGGTCCACAGCTGCTTTGCCAAACTTCTGCCACGTCTGAAACATCAGGTCTGGATAGAGGGTCCAGTCCGCGTGACGTGGGCCGCCCCTGGACATCACATCTGCTCCTCTGTTCAGAACGCCGGGTATGTAGACCGCTCTGATGGAAAGCAGATTTTGGTGAGCCCAACACAGTAGCTTCCGCGCAATGTGTAACATCTGGGCTGAACGCACACCCCCCTGGCGGTTTATGTACGCAGCAGTCACCATGTTGTCTGTGTGAATCAACACGTGTTGATTCTGTAGCACGGGAGCAAAATGCTGAATCACGTTCAGCACTGTGCGACACTCCAAAACATTGATGTGGGCTGATGTGTGGTGGGGCCACAGCGCCCCTACTGCTTGAGATAAGCATGTCCCCCCCCAGCCTGACAGCGACGCGTCCGTGAAGACTGACACGTGTGACGAGGGTTTGCTGACGGGGACTCCCTCTGACAGAACCAGGGTGTTTCCCCAGAGTCGGAGGTCTGCTCTCACGGAGGGAGGGACAGTGATCATCCGTCTTTTGTGTTTTACTGGATCCACACGCAGACGCGCAAACCACCTCTGGAGGCGTCTCATGTGTAACAAACCCAGCGGAACCACTGTGTGAGCTGATGACATTATTCCCAACAGCTTCATGACGGAGACAGCTGTTACCACTTTGCCAGGTCTTACGTGGCGTAGTTGTTTTTTTAGAGTGTCGATTCTTGTTTGTGATAAGCGAGCCGTCATGGTAATTGAATGTAATTCCACTCCCAGATAAACAATTGTCTGGGCCGGGAAAATCGAGCTTTTCTTCCAATTTATGGCGAAGCCCAGATTTAACAGGTGTGATACCAACACCTGAGCCTGTATCAGCGCTTCCTGTCTGGAGTGTGACAGGAGCAGCAGGTCGTCCAGGTAAAACAAAACTCTCATCCCTGCTCTGTGCAGTGGATGCAGGGCTGTCTCCACACACTTTGAGAACGTACGAGGCGCGAGGGAATACCCGAAAGGCAGCCTGTTGTACTGGTACTTCATCCCTTGAAAGGCGAAACGCAGAAATTTTCTGTGTTTTGCGATGATCGGTATGTGAAAATAAGCATCTTTTAGATCGATGGAAACAAACCAGTCGTTTTTCTGGATGTTGTCCAACAGCTGTCTGTTCGTCAACATGTGAAACGGTCTGTTCATGATCGCTTTGTTGAAAGCTGACAGATCCAGAATCGGTCTCATCCCTCCGGTCCTTTTGGGGACCAGGAAGTAGCGTGAGTAAAACCCTGTGTTTTCCTCTTCGTTGGGAACTCTTGAGATTACACCTTTTATCAGAAGCTCCTGAACTTCTGCATTTAAGGCTGAGACTTGGTCTGGTGATGACAGGACCGTCTATATAACTCCTCCGAACGGAGGGGGTCGGGTTGCAAATTGCAGCGTGTAACCCTTGCATAACACTCTGTCCATCCATCTGTCCGGCGAACAGGTTTTTTGCCACTCTGCATAACGTTCGTGGAGTGGAAGTGCGTTTAAATGATGTGCCGTGTTTTGAACGGATGTCATCCAAAACTCCGCCTTGACCGCCGTCATGCGTCGCGGAAATATTTTCCGCGTGACCCAAGGCGAGGCTTTCTCGAAAGGGCTGTTCTGCGCGCGCCCGTGCGCTGTGACTGGATCGCGGACCAACCTTCATGTCCGGGCGGGGCGGTGTGTGTTGAGGCGAAGCGTGTGCCAGCTGATGACGTCGTGAGGCTGCACGTTTAATGTCGCTGTGCGAACGTTGAGAGGCGGAGGGCATGACTTCATCAACGCCGTGCTGTCGAAGTGAAGGTTGTGAGCCTCGCGGGAGCGCACGTTTCCTCTGGAGGGACGCGCGCCGCTCTCGCTGAGGGCGGGGCCCGTCATTGGATTTATTCAGCTGTCTCACGCTTATGCCGCCGTGAGCTGCTGATCGCTGAGACGCGGTGGATGACGGCCGCTCGCGTTCGCTCAGGAGAGGCGTGTGTTGTTTTCGC